TGGACCGGGATGGGCACCGGGAGAGGGGCTGGGACGGACCGGGATGGGCACCGGGAGAGGGGCTGGGACGGACCGGGATGGGCACCGGGAGAGGGGCTGGGATGGACCGGGATGGGCACCAGAAAAGACTGGGATAGGCCGTGGCTGAGGCTGGATAGGCAGTGGGGATGCACCGGTGTGGAGGCGTGGATGGACACCGGTAGCGGGGCAGGACGAGTCACCGGGGTACGTCGGGATAGAGGCGATAGGCACTGGGAACACCGAGGAGATGGGAATTGCCTCCATAGAAGAAGCCTTGTATTCTGCTGAAGGGGTCAGGCTTTTATTCAACTTCTTCCCCACTGCTACTTTTTATTTTATCAGCATTTTATTCCATTCCCTTTCCTTGCTCTGCATCCCTTCTGCAGCGTGGGTATGAACAGGATCCGGATTCACGTGTTGCCGACCAGCCGAGGCCGCCTGACCCCGGTGCCACGGCCACAGGAGCCCTTGGGCTGTGCCTTCGCCCCCCGGCCCTGCTCCCAGCCCCGCCTGGAAGGGCAGGAATTCTGCATCAAGCACATCCTCGAGGACAGGAATGCTCCCTTCAAACAGTGCAGCTACGTGTCCACAAAGAACGGGAAGCGTTGTCCCAACGCCGCTCCCAAGCCCGAGAAGAAGGATGGGTGAGTGGCTCTGCCTCCTGGGTTTCCAGTCCCAAACTCTATGGAATTAAAACAGGAGGTTTTTCTCTTTGTCTTCCATGCTGAAGGAACAGCTGGAGCTGTGTCAGGGGAGGTTTTATACTGGATTTTGGGAAAAGGTTCTCCTCCCAGTTGAGCACTTGAACAGCTCCTCAGGGCAGTGGTCACATCCACAACCCTGCCAGAGCCCAAGGAGTGTTTGGATAATGCTCCCAGGAACATGGTGGGATTTTGGGATGTCCTGTTCAAGCCCAGGAGATGGACTTGGTGATCCTTGTGGGTCCCTTTCAGGATATTCCACGATTCTTCTCTTTCAGCTGCTGCATTTGGGTTACCTCTGAGAACATCTTCCTTTTTTCAAAGTGTTTTTAAGCTGGAGAAAGACTCCATGGAGTTAATTTGGGACTGTGAGCTGTGCCCTGGCCCAGCAGAAGGTGGCTGCAGTGCTCCAGGCCCTGCACTGGATCCATGTGTGCTGTCCCTCCCTCATCCCAGCACATCCCGCTGCCTGTGCCAGGGGATAATCCCCAGAGCAGCCACTCACATCCCTGTGGAGCTTTGACCTGCTTGTGCTGCTGCTTCCCTCAGGCTGTTAAAATGCTGGAGTGTTGGGGATGGAAGGGATGGAAGAGTTGTGGATGACAGAGCACAGATTCCTCACAGGAGTGTTGCTTCCAGGGATTTACTGGGATGTGGACAGGGATTGTCTCCACACTGGTCCCTGTGCCATAAAATGTGGGGAAGGCAGAGTCCAGTGAGAATGTTTAGAAGCAGAAGAGCTCAGAAACTCACCCAACTCACTGGCTTTAACTGCAAGCTCTTCTCACTCCCTGCTGCCTGAGGTGATGCTCCCACTGTGGTGGGTGGACTCTCAGCATTGCCAGGCTGGACCTGCATCCAGCTCCCTGTGAGAGATTCCAGGTTCCAGGAATCTTTTGCCTTGTCCACTTCCCTTCTGCCCTGCTCAGGTGGAACCTTGCATCCAGAGCTGCTTCCAGCCCTGCCCCCCGCACAGGAAAAACATGGAGCAGTTGGAGTGAGTTCAGAGAGGCACCAAGCTGAGCAGAGGCATGGAGCAGCTCTCCTAGAAGGAAAAGCTGAGAGAATTAGAATTACTCTGGAGAAGAGAAGCTCAGATTTGACCTAATTATGACCTAAAAGTGCCTGAAAGGGTTGCAGGAAGTTGGATAAACTATTTACAAGGGATGGAGTGCCAGGACAAGAGGGAATGGCTTCCCACTGCCAGAGGCAGGGTTAGATGGGATATTTGGAAGGAATTCCTGCAAGGTTGGGGGGCCCAGAGAGGCTGTGGCTGCCCCTGGGTCCCTGGAAGTGCCCAGGGCTGGGCTGGACGGGGCTTGGAGCAACCTGGGATAGTGGAAATTGTCCCTGCCCGTGGCAGGGGTGGACCTGGATGATCTTTACATTCCCTCCCAATCCAAAGCTTGCTGGGATTCTGTGGAAATGCAGGAATGCAGAAGGTTTGGGAGGTGTTGCAGGGTTGGTGGCTGCTCCTCTGGAATGGCTGTGCGCATTTCAATCCCTTGAGGGGCCTCTTCAAAAGAGGATTTTCCCCCCACACCCCCATTTTGTCTGTCATGAGGAAAACAGGAAGATTTTAATCCCCAGATTATTGTGGCATCATCATCATCCTGCATTTCAGCCAGCACGCTTGAAAGGCTGAGGAATGCACTGGGGCCAAACCAAAGGCCGGGGATCCATGGGAGCTGCTGGTGTGAGGGAGGTGTCCCTGGGTGTTTGGATCTCCTGAGATTGCCGAGCAGTGCTGTTGGAGGCAAAGCTGGGACTTGCTTTGGGGTTTGGTGATGGAGGAGGGATTCCAGCAGCAGGAGCCGGGAGAGCAAGGTGGGGTCAGGCTGGGAGGGAGCTCAGATCAGCTTTTAGGTTCTTCCTAAAAGAAGAACTGCCAGCACTGCCCAAACCCAGCCCAGCCCTGGGGGCTCAGCTGTGCCCTGCAGAGCCCTCCCAGCTCAGGGCACTGCCCAGGGGAAGCTCTGCCTCTGCAGGCTCTGATGGCAATGTCAGAGCAACCCTGAGGAGGCTGGAAAAGCGACACTGATGCTGCCTGTGAGGGACCCTGTGCTGATTTCTGTCACTGCCTGGTTAAGTGTTGGAGTCTGGCATTCAGAGTGTGTGCCCTTGTTTCTGATACTTAACTCTAAGATCCAGAAAAACACTGAATTCCATATAATACGAAATTCATGAGCGTGTTTGCATGGTGATACATGAAAACAACTGTTAAAGTTAGATACAAAAAGCTAAAAGTGTGTGTAGATTAGAGAGTTTTCTTAATTCACTGGGTGAAAAAGTCAGTTTAGAAAGCAGAAGACAAGATGGAGGATTTAGGGTGTTGTCTCTTGTCCCTTCTTTCTTCTTCATATTCTTCTTCTACAACCCAAATTATTGTCCAGTTCCTTTCCTGGCTGGGGCTGTGCTGAGCCTGTGCTTTGTCCCTCAGCACGTCGTTCTGCGCGGAACACGCCCGACGGAACGCGCTGGCGCTCCAGGCTCAGCTGAAGAAATCCAACCCCGGGCCCGTGGGTGAGACCCTCCTGTGCCAGCTGAGCTCCTACGCCCGCGCTGAGCTGGGCTCGCAGAGCACGGAGAGCAGCCGGAGCGAGGCCAGCCGCATCCTGGGTAAGGATGAACCTCATGCCTTAGGATTTCAGCATTTATATTTTCCAGCCCCTGGACTGCATTAGTGCATAACTCTAAACTCCATGTGAAGCGTTGGCTGCTGTGTTCACATTTGGGATGGACAGAACAATCCCTCAGGGCCTGAAACTCAAGGACACCCTCCAGCCTCAGGCCCCAAAAAGTGTAAACAAAAGTGAATTGGTGGGGAGTGAGCTGGGGGAATGTGACTTCATTACCTGGAGTTTTAATTGGAGGATTAACCCTTGAGATGCAAATGGACCAAAGTTAGATCTGTGTGAAAAACTCGTGGCCAGCATCCAACTTGGGTGCAGCCTCTGGGAGAGTTTTGACTGCCCAAGCTGTATCTATTGAAGGCCTTTAATAAATACCCACTTTATTCTCTTAACCTTGTCTAGCCTCTGCTCCAGGCAGCCCCTCCAAGGCATCAAACCCAAAGGCAGCAATATCCCTTCAGTCCAGTGGGAAAAAGATCCCGTGGTCTGGGAGTGAAAGCTGGGGTTTTGTGAAGCCTGGTGTGTCTCACCTGCAGAGAAATGACACCACCAGACCCAGATCCTGTAGCTTTAGCATGGAAGTGTTAGTAGGGCTGCTAAATAGCACCACTGGAATTCCGTGGTTAATGGGAAGGCTGAAGCATCATTCCCAGGGTGTTCTGGCTGTTCCAAGCTGGGAGGCTTCCTGCTGTTTCCTGCTCCATGTCCCTCACTCAGAGCTTTGGGGTGGAGAATCGCCTCTTGGCATGAGGCAGAGCCAGCTCAGCTCCATGGGGCTGAGCTCCAGAGTGTCCCTGGCTGTGCTGGGGACAGTGTGCTGTGAGTCTCGGTGCTGTGTCTTGCAGACGAGGACAGCTGGAGTGACTGCGAGCAGGACCCTGTCACCGTGGAGCAGACATGGCGTGGGGACCCTGACAGTGAAGCCGACAGCATCGACAGCGACCAGGAGGATCCCCTCAAGTAGGTTGGGGAGTTAAATCCATGTTACATTTTGGGGGGGCTCAGGGGGAGCCTTCTGGCTCTCCACAGCTCCCTGACATGAAGCTGCAGCCAAGTGGGGATCAGGCTCTGCTCTCAGGAAACAAGGGACAGGACAAGGGGAAACAGCCTCAATCTGTGCCAGGAGAGGTTCAGGTTGGACATCAGGAGGAACTTCTTCATGGAAAGAGTTGTCAAGCATTGGAACTGCCCAGGAAGGTGGTGGAGTCCCTATCCCTGGAGAGCTTTTCTAACCTCTGGGATTCTGTGGTGGCTGCTGATTGCTACACACACATTCCATGTTCTGGGCTTGCTGTGGCTCTGGGCACAGTGGTTGTGTTAAAAACATGACAATATCTGGGTTTTTTCATGGATTTGTGCCCACGTGGTTTGTTGGCTGTGGATACTCTCAGGTCCTGGAGCTGGGGTTTTCTGGCAAGCACTTGCTGCTGATCCTCTTCCAGAGTGTAGTGGATCACACAGCAGCTTCTCTGGGCGATCCTGTCTTCAAAAAAGCCTGAAATTGAGTATTTCAGCTCATCATTTGTTGATGGTGTAACCCAGAGTGTTCCCAATAACATCAGTGTTGTTTGTGTGGGGGAGCAGCCCAGAGGGACCTTCACATAGTAATAACCTTGAGAGAGCCCCACAGATTCAGAGAATCAAACCTTGAGAGTCTCCCAAATCCTTTGGGGCATCAGCCCTGAGGCACCCCCAAACCCTTTGGAAGAATTATCCCGAGAGGCTTCCCCAGGCTTTGGGGGTTCAGCCTTGAGAGACCCCCACACCCTTCAGCAGAACAGCCCCATGGGACCCCTCCATGTCATTTGGGGTCCAGCCCTGAAGGACCTCCACACCTTTTGTGGCAGCTACCCCGAGGGATCCCCACATCTTTAGGGGTGGATAACCCCTGAGGGATCCCCACACCTTTAGGGGTGGATAACCCCTGAGGGATCCCCACACCTTTAGGGGTGGATAACCCCTGAGGGATCCCCACATCTTTAGGGGTGGATAACCCCTGAGGGATCCCCACACCTTTAGGGGTGGATAAGCCCTGAGGGATCCCCATACCTTTAGAGGTGGATAACCCCTGAGGGATCCCCACACCCTGAGGGGGATAACCCCTGAGGGATCCCCACACCCTGAGGGGGATCAGCCCTGAGGGATCCCCACATCTTTAGAGGTGGATAAGCCCTGAGGGATCCCCACATCTTTAGAGGTGGATAACCCCTGAGGGATCCCCACATCTTTAGGGGTTCAGCCTTGAGAGACCTCCACACCCTTTGGGGGTTCATTCCTGAGAGACCCTCAGGCTCTTCAGTGGCAAAAAACCCCACGGGATCCCTTCAGGGATCAGCCCTGAGGGGCCCCCACACCCTGAGGGGGATAAACCCTTCAGGGATCCCCGCACCCTTCAGGGATCAGCCCTGAGGGATCCCCACACCTTGAGGGGGATAAGCCCTGAGGGATCCCCACACCTTGAGGGGGATAAGCCCTGAGGGATCCCCACACCTTGAGGGGTGGATAAGCCCTGAGGGATCCCCACACCCTGAGGGGGATAAGCCCTGAGGGATCCCCACACCTTTAGGGGTGGATAAGCCCTGAGGGATCCCCACACCCTGAGGGGGATAAACCCCAAGGGATCCCCACACCCTGAGGGGGTTCAGCCTTGGGAGACCTCCACACCCTTTGGGGGTTCATTCTTGAGAGACCCCCAGGCTCTTCAGTGGCAAAAAACCCCACAGGATCCCTTCAGGGATCAGCCCCGAGGGGCCCCCACACCCTCTGGGGGGGTTCAGTCGTGAGGGTCCCTCCCAAACAGCCCCTGTTCCGTGGGTTTTGCAGGCACGCTGGTGTGTACACGGCTGAGGAGGTGGCTCTGATCATGCGGGAGAAGCTGATCCGGCTCCAGTCCCTCTACATCGACCAGTTCAAGCGGCTCCAGCACCTGCTGAAGGAGAAGAAGCGCCGGTTCCTGCACAGCAGGAAGGGAGAGCATGAGGCCATCGGTGAGCTCAGACCTCCTGCCCGAGGGTGTGCACTGAAATCTGTTAAAATGGGGGGGTTTGGGCCTTTCTAGAGGCAGATTTCAGAGCAGGGTAAGGGGAGGGTTCCACACTCAGAGGAGGTGTTTCAGTGAGGGGCTGGGGAAGTGGCTGGTGCACAAGGAGAAGGTTCTGGAGAGCTGAGGGAGCTGGGGAGGGGCTGAGCCTGGAGAAAAGTGATCTCAGGTGGGACCATCTCACTCTCTGTAAGTCCCTGACGGGAGGGTGCAGCCAGGCGGGGATCAGGAGCTGCTCCCACGGACAGTGAGACAAGAGGGATTGGCCTCAAACTGTGCCAGGGGAGGTTTGGGTTGGACATTTCTCTATGGAAAAGGTTGTCAGGCATTGGAACTGCCCAGGGACGTGTTGGAATCCCCGTGCTGGAGGTGTTCAAGGAACAGCTGGACATTGCACCCAGTGCTCTGCTCTGGTTGACAAGGTAGGATCAGTCACAGGTTGGACTCTGATCCTGGAGAGCTGTTCCAGAGTGATTCCATGATTCTGTGCTGGTCCTGTGCCCAGAGATCCGTATCACTGAAGTTCCAGTGCATTTCTTTGCTCTTCAGAGCTTGCAGTGTTGGCAGGAAATGAGCTATAATGTTAATTCTGAGACAAAAGTGCTTATTTTGTACTGGGATTTCCTGTTTTTTTGCTTTTACGAACAAAAAATATTCATCCTTAAGGCCCTTGGTGTGTGGACAGGAGTTGATTCCAGTAACACCAGTGCTGCTGTACTGGCTTATTCCTCCTTAGCAGGGATGCAGCTTTCCCTCTGCCTCTGCTGGCATTCTCCCTGTGCAGAATATGCTCTTGGAATCAGGAATTCCCAGTTCAACAGAGGCAAAACCGAGTTGTGTAACTGATCCCAAGTATTGCAGAGCAAAGGATTCTTTTTTTTTCCAGCGTCATCCTTTAATAGCTCATCCTGGAAAACGCCATAATTCAGCTCAGGCTTGAGTAAAAATAACCAGGAGTTTTGTACATACCAATTTTGCAGAACTCTTTTTAGCAAACGAGTCAGAGAAAAGCAGATCCTGAGCATTGCCCTGTAATTACACCAGGAATGCTGGTGGGAAGCTTCCAGAACTTACACAGGACTGACCTGGAATTTGACAAGCTTCTATTCTGCTGCTGAAATCACAATGGATGGGAGTGGCTGAATTCTTTTTAAAGGAGGTTTTAAAAATACTCTGTGGGCCCAAGTGTTCCTGGTGTGTGTGAAGAGGTCAGGATCAATTTTGGGATGGAACCTGCACTGCCAAAGCTGCTCTTCTGCTGGTCCAGTGGATGGAGCCCTCAGAGCCCTTGATGGCTGATCTGACCCCTTGATGCCAAAAAGACCGGGCAGGTGGGTGGAGATTCTTGACTCTTGCTTTATTCCTGCAGGCAGCAGCCTCCTGACAGGGCCAGAGGGGCTGATGGCCAAGGAGAGGGAGAATCTGAAGCGGCTCAAGTGCCTGCGGCGTTACCGGCAGCGCTACGGGGTGGAGGCTCTGCTGCACCGGCAGCTCCGCGAGAGAAGGGTCCTGGCCACCGATGGTGCGGCCCAGCAGGTCCGTGGGGACAGCCTGGATGGGTCTCTTGTGTCTTCCCCTGGCAGATGGAACACCCTTCCTGCAGGGACAGCCCTGGCTGACACCCTCCTGCGTTTGGAGAAGCTCCTGGGTTTGTTGAGGCTCATGGGAGCTCTTGGGTTGATGGGAACTCCTGCATCTGTGATGACTGTGTGTCTGCAGGAGCTCTCAGCTCTGTGGGAGCTCTTGGGTTTAGGGGAGCTCCTGGATCTGTGATGACTGTGTGTCTGCAGGAGCTCTTGGTGACCACAGCTTGGATGCTGGGGTCAGGATTGGGCTCCTCGCAGCAAGAAAAACATTGAGGGTTGAGAGAAGGGAATGGAGCTGGGGAAGGGACTGGAGCACAGGAAAGGTCTGGAAAACTCCTGAGGAGATGAGGGAGCTGGCGGGGCTCAGCCTGGAGAAAAGGGAGCTCAGGGTGTTTGGAAGCTTGAGGAGTTTTGGGAGCTCCTGGGTCTTTAGGAGCTCCTGGGTTGTGGAAGCTTGTGGGTCTGTCAAGGCTCTCAGGTTTTTGGGAGCTCTGTGATCTGTGGGAGCTCCTGGGTCTGAGTCCATTCCACTGCCTAAAGGAAACTTTATAAAAAGAGGGAAAGGGGGTTTTAAATAAGCAGGCAGTGACAGGACAAGAGGGAATGGTTTTAAACTAAGAGATGAGAGGTTTAGGTGGGATATTGGGAACAAATTCCCCCCTGTGAGGGTGGGCAAGCCCTGGCACAGGCTGCCCAGAGCACCTGTGGCTGCCCCATCCCTGGAAGTGCCCGAGGCCAGGCTGGATGGGGCTTGGGAAGGTGTCCCTGCCATGGGAGCAGGAGCTAAAGGAGCTTTCCAGTCTCTCTTACCCAAACCATTCCGTGATTTCAGGCACACACCACCCGCTCCAGCCAGCGCTGCTTGGCCTTTGTTGATGATGTCCGATGCTCCAACCCGTCCCTCCCGATGACCCGGCACTGCCTCACGCGTATCCTTTCATCCTGGCACTCCTCCTCGGTGTTTGCCAGCAGTTTGCCCCGTGGCTGTGCCTCTTTTCCCCTCTCTGGCCCTCAATCAAGGCCATCGGTTTGCTGTAGCCGTTGGTTTCAAGCAGGAGCCCAGAGGAAACGTCTCCCTGTCTGTTGGTGCTCCCATCCCGTGGAACTGCCAATTCGTGTGGGAGCAACAAAGGGCTGGGCTGGGCCCAGGGGTGGTCCTGCTGTGTCAACAACATCCAGACAGGGTGAGAATTTCACCTGGAAGCAGAGAAACCTGTGAGGGATGTGCATGGATTCCCTCCAGGGATGGGGATTCCGCATCCTCCCTGAGCTGCCCTTCCAGTGTCTGACCACCCTTTCCACGGAAGAAATTCCTCCTGATGAGTTCAGAAATTCCTGAACCTCCCCTGACAAAGCTTGAAGCTCTTCCCTCTTGTCCCTTGTTCCCTGGGAGCAGAGCCTGGTCCTCACCTGAGGACACGGACACCAGAGCACAGCCTTGGGGATTTTTGGAGGATCTGGAGGGGAAGTTTTGAGCCCTTTTGGAGCTGCTGTGGGCCAGCTCTGTCTCTGTGACCCTTCAGAAGGTTCTCCTGTGTGTGAAAAGCCTTGAGCTGTTCCACCTCCCAAATCAGCCTCAGCTGTTGGAGAGCTGGCACTGAAAGTTCCACCGGGATCCCCCAGCTCAGGGATGATCCCAGTATGGGATCAGTGATCCCCCAGCTCAGGGATGATCCCAGTATGGGATCAGTGATCCCCCAGCTCAGGGATGATCCCAGTATGGGATCATGGATCCCCCAGCTCAGGGATGATCCCCAGTATGGGATCATGGATCCCCCAGCTCAGGGATGATCCCCAGTATGGGATCATGGATCCCCCAGCTCAGGGATGATCCCAGTATGGGATCACAGATCCCCCAGCTCAGGGATGATCCCCAGTATGGGATCAGTGATCCCCCAGCTCAGGGATGATCCCCAGTATGGGATCAGGGACCCCTCAATCAGGGATGATCCCCAGTATGGGATCATGGACCCCAGCATTGCCCTGCTGGTGGATCTGCTCCATCCACTCTCTTGGGACTGGGAGTGGGTGAACGTGTCCAGGTTTGGATGAGGCTGGAGCTGCAGGAGGGAGCAGTGGGGTGAGTCAGGACAAGATCTGGTGCTGGGTCCCAGGGCTGGGTGAGGAGGAGCTTCTGGATCTGTGGGAGGTGCTGGGTTTGAGCTCTTGGGTTTATGAGTTCCTGGGTCTGTGGGAGCTCCTGGGTGTGCAGGAGATTTTGAGTTTTTGGGAGCTCTTGGGTCTTGAGGAGCTGTCAGATTTCTTGTGAGATTCTGGATTTCTGAGAGCCCCTGGGTTTGTTTTGTCCGTGGAGTGATCAGACTCCCCCAGCCCTGTGCTGGGAGCAGGAGCTGGAAGCTGCCTTTGTTTCTCTCTAACCACCACAGACCTCAAAATAAAGACAGGAGAAATCCCATAAAACAGCCGGAGAAGCTGCTGTTGGCAGCTGGCGCTCCCGGGAGGGAGGGGAAGAGCTGGGTCTGGCGGGAGCTCTCAGCTGACTCTCTCTGACAAAAACAAGCTTTTCCTCGGGCAGCTGATAACATCTGATAACATCTGCGGCTTTTCGGGAGGCTCTTGGGCTCTGTTTGCTTCCAGGAGCTGGATTGTTTGTGACAGGGCACTAAAGGGATGGGGAAAAGCTGGGAGGCTCCAGATGGAGCCTGGGATTTTTGTCCTCTTGGCAATCTGTGCTTCTGGCTACCAGTAAAGTCGGTGCTGGAGCTGGGAGTTGCTCCAGGAGATGAAAATCTGCCTTTCCCACCCCCTGTTCCCTCACCACATCTTCCCTTGGGTGTCCCAGGTCCTTCTCTGTTGGGCTGGGCTCTGACATTGCTGCCAGCCCAGATTCTGGCTCCCCACAGCCTGCTGGGAAGTGGATTCCTGAGGAATCCTTGGAGTAGGGAGGAGAGGAGGAAAGGGTGAATCTCAAACCTGGACAGCTTAAGAAACTGGCTTAAACTTGGCGTTTTTTCCCAGTTTTATGTGGGTTTGGGATTCTTTTCCCCCCTCCCACAGTGGTGTGTGTGTGAGGAAATTGCAGTTGGGATGATCCTGGTTGGAAGGGGGTGGAAGAGGAGAGAGGTGGGAGGAAGAGGAGAAGGGGGGTGGAAGAAGAGGCTGGAAGAAGTGAATGGGGGTTGAAAAAGAGGAAGGGGTGGGAAGGAAAGAAAGAGATTGAAAGAGGAGGAAAAGGAGGAATGGAATCAGAAGAGGAGAATGGGATCAGAATGGGGCTTGGAAGAAGAGGATGGGTGTGGGAAGAGGAGGAAGGAGTGGGAAGAGGAGGAAAGGGCTGGAAGGTGATGGGTTCAGAGCAGGCTGGGTTTTGATCTGTAGCTCCTCTCCTGGATCGCTCTGCAAGTGTGATGCAATTGAAGCAGAGTTTCTGTTTGGGATTAAAGGCAGGAAATCCCATTTACACCTCTGGCAGGAACAGGTTTTCCATTGGGAAGGAAAATGCAGTGGGAAGATAGAAATACCATAACTAAACTCCTGGCTGTGGAAAAGGCATTGTGTGTGCTGGGATCTCCCTGCCTGTGGGGCTGGAGCTGATCGTTTTCCATGGATGTCTGCAAACAAAAGTTAATCCTGCGCCTTTGTGACATCCTGCTGAGTATCTGTGAGTGGTTTCCAGGGATCCAGCCACATCTCCCAGCCCCCACGGGGGGGTTTGTGGCTGTTGTCCCAGTTTTCCATCATGGAAATTATGTCACCCACATCCCTGGGCAGTTGGGGTGCTGCTCTAGGCTCTGGATTCCTGATCTGGGCGAAACTGGGGTGGGTTTAACACCGTTTGTGGGGGAATTGGGAGAGTTTCTCAGCATTTATCCCTCTGGATGTGTCTCTGGCTGTACCTCTGCTGCTTTCCTTGACCTCCTCTTGCCAGATATCTGCCAGGATACAAACCAGACACTGTTCAAGCCGTGCCAGGGCTCGGAGGAAGTTCCCTGCAACAAGCCCGTGCCCGTGAGCCTGTCAGAGGAGCCGTGCTGCCCCCTGCACCTCCGCCTGCCCCCCCAGATGTACGTCCCAGAGCAGGTCCTGGCTGTCCCCCAGGAGCTGGGAGCTGCTCCCACGGATCTGTACCTGAGCGCAGCCGAGCTCCAGCCCACAGAGAGTTTGCCCCTGGAATTCAGCGATGTAAGTGGGAAATCTGCCCCTGTGCCCAGCTGAGAGCTCACCTGGAATGCTGGATGGAATGGAATTCCCATCCAGCTCTGGGAAGCTCAGCACAGGGAGAGCTGCTGGAGCCAGAGGAGGCCACGGAGATGTTCTGAGGGCTGGAACAGCTCTGGAGCCAGGCTGGGAGTGCTGGGGATGTCCAGCCTGGAGAAGAGAAGGATCCAGGGACAACTTAGAGCCCTTCCAGTGGCTGCAGGGAGCTGGAAATGGTCTTGGGAGAGGGGATGGAGCGCTAGGACAAAGGGGGAATGGCTTCCCACTGCCAGAGGCAGGGTTAGATGGGATATTTGGAAGGAATTCCTGCAAGGTTGGGGGGCCCAGAGAGGCTGTGGCTGCCCCTGGGTCCCTGGAAGTGCCCAGGGCTGGGTTGGACAGGGCTTGAAGCAACCTGGGATAGTGGAAATTGTCCCTGCCCGTGTCAGGGGTGGACCTGGATGATCTTTACATTCCCTCCCAATCCAAAGCCTGCTGGGATTCTGTGGAAATGCAGGAATGCAGAAGGTTTGGGAGGTGTTGCAGGGTTGGTGGCTGCTCCTCTGGAATGGCTGTGCGCATTTCAATCCCTTGAGGGGCCTCTTCAAAAGAGGATTTTCCCCCCACACCCCCATTTTGTCTGTCATGAGGAAAACAGGAAGATTTTAATCCCCAGATTATTGTGGCATCATCATCATCCTGCATTTCAGCCAGCACGCTTGAAAGGCTGAGGAATGCACTGAGGCCAAACCAAAGGCCGGGGATCCATGGGAGCTGCTGGTGTGAGGGAGGTGTCCCTGGGTGTTTGGATCTCCTGAGATTGCCGAGCAGTGCTGTTGGAGGCAAAGCTGGGAATTGCTTTGGGGTTTGGTGATGGAGGAGGGATTCCAGCAGCAGGAGCCGGGAGAGCAAGGTGGGGTCAGGCTGGGAGGGGGCTCAGATCAGGTCCCAGCCCCTTTGTGCAAACAGGAGGTAGATTTTTTGGGTTAGAAAGGAAAAATGGGATTGTTTTCCCTCATCCTGTCCTTTGAGAGGGTTCCGAGCTCCCTCTGCAGCGCTGTGGATTCACGGAAGCTGCCGGGGGCATCTGTGTTGTGTCTCACGTCGTGCCAGGCTGGGGAAGCGCCACTCGTGAGTCACAGGAATCTCGCCCTCGTGTCAAACCCCCTTTGGAGCCAAAACAAATCCCAGCCTCTCTCCTCGGCAGGGAGGGCAGATGGAGGAGTCCTCAGAGCCTGTCCATCCCCATCTGTGGTGTCAGGGCAAACAGAGGAGGTGTGACATCCTAGGGGAGGGTGGGGATGTTCCAGGTGTCCCCAGGAATGTGTGTGATGTCCTGGAGAGCAGGGATTGCTCTGGGGGTCCCCAGGAATGTGTGTGACATCCTGGGGATCAGGGATTGCTCCGGGGGTCCCCAGGAATGTGTGTGACATCCTGGGGATCAGGGATTGCTCCAGGGGTCCCCAGGAATGTGTGTGACATCCTGGGGATCAGAGATTACTCCAGGGGTCCCCAGGAATGTGTGTGATGTCCTGGAGAGCAGGGATTGCTCCGGGGGTCCCCAGAAGGGTGTGATTGGGCCCTGTCAAAGCCATTCCAGGTGCTGGAGGGACACTTTAGGGACAGCACGTCACGCTGGGCTCCAGGTGTCCCACACCTTGTCCTCAGCAGTGCCAGCTGGGATCATGGCATTCCAGGAGGAGTAGGGGGTTCCTGGGGTGTATTCCTGCCTGAGGGCCGGGTGTCCCACTGGCATGGTGCCCACTCCTCCTCCTCCTCCTCCTCCCAGCCTTTCTCCTCCTTTCCTGCTGCTCCAGAGGACTGGAGTCTCCTCAGACCCCTCCTGATGAGCCACTCTGCTGTTTCCCCTGCCAGGACCTGGACGTGGTGGGTGATGGCATGCAGTGCCCCCCATCCCCTCTGCTCTTTGACCCTTCTGTGACCCTCGATCCGTCCCTGCGGGACATGGCCGAGGCTCCCATCGACATCCTGGCGCTGGAGGAGCCGGACAGGGGCAGCTCCTCTGCCCCGCTGGTCCCTGCGGCCGAGGGGCCCGCACAGGTACGGGACTGCCCCCCCCGGGGTGGGCTTTTCCCAGCAGGAAACCCCCCTTTTCCACCAGGCCACACATCATCTGCAGGGCTCGGGTGTGCCCGGGGTCTGGATGGCGTTAGGAGTGCCAGGGTGGGGTGGCAGCCCCCGAGGTGGCTCCATGGGTGGCTCAGAACCAGCCTTGTCCTGGGAATGTCTGGGGCACTGGGGATGTCTGGCCTGCTCTTGGAATGTCTTCATCCCAGCTGGGGGTTTTTAGGGGACTTGTTTCCCAGGCCAGGAGTTTTCCTTTATTCCTTGGAGTCTTTTCACTGGATTAACTGAAATTCGCTCCTGTCGTCCTGCCTGGAGCCAGGGGCTTCTTTGGGGTGTCCCCATAGGGACAGGTGATGTCACCCATCCCCCTGTCACGCCTCCTGGGGTAAAAGCCACGTTTTGGGGTGGGGAGGGCACAGCCCAGGCTCTGACTGAAGACCCCCAGTTTGCTGTAGCTGTTGGTTTCAAGCAGGAGCCCAGAGGAAACGTCTCCCGGTCTGTTGGTGCTCCCATCCTATGGAGCAGCCAATTCGTGTGGGAGCGACACCGTCCCAGGCTGTCCCAGCACAGCCAACACTGTCCCCGTCCTGTCCCCAGCAGAGTCACCTCCCGTTCCAGCCGGGGCCCCGGGATGAGCAGCAGCCGGAGGGAACGGCCGCCAACGGGAGCCTGGAGCCGGGGGCCGTGAGCTGAGCCCGGCAGCACCGGGGTCTCCTCACCCGGGGAACCTTCAGCGTGCGGGGTCTGCGGGGACCGAGCTGCTGGAGACCCCTCCAGCGCCAGCATGAGCTGCAGCTCCGGCTCCTGCACGGATCCCTGGAGCCCCAGAGAGCCCTGGAGCCCCGGGCTGGGGGCTGCAGACCCTCCCGTCCTCTGTGGGGATGGAGCAGCCACAGAGG